TTGGTGTTGGGACTTCCAAAGGTCTTTTGCTAAACTTTGAAGTTGTTTTTCCATATTAGCTTTTTCTTGCCCTTTTTGTACCAATAAATAAGAATGTTCATTGATGTCCTTAACTGTGTACAAAATGTTCATTAACTCTTCATGTAAGAGTTGAATTCTTTCTTTCAACTGGTGAATCAAGCTAGCTAATCCCTGTACTTGAGTAGACATTGCATTCTGTTTTTCTTCAATTCTGAGATTTGGCATTCTCAGCTTGCCAATTCAAACTAGCCTCTACAGGTGAAATAGATTTCTGCATTCCATTTGAGTCTCTCATAGTGGGATTTTTAATTTTCCAAACATATTTCTCATTTCTTGTGGTCTTTCCAAATCATGTAAAGGGGGAAAATTTGTGGTATAGCTTGAACTCTGTGGGTCAAAAGCCAAACAACTTGGGATGTTGTTTTCATCTGTATCATCCCATCCTGAAGGGATGATTTCTGAAGTATGAGGTTTGGGTTCATCCTTGGGACTACCATATAAAACATAATAATTCCAATTTTCTACACACTCACCAAGTAATCCCACATAAGGGTCACCATTTATATATCTCTCATGCAATTTCTGCAGTGATGACTTTTTTTTCTTTTCTTTCTTCTCTTTCTTTCTTTTTTCCTCTGGGAAATCATTCTGATCTTCAAGGCATGAATCACAGTTGCAAACATCAAACCAATGATGTCCATCAGCTGTTTTTTGTTCATAAATTGGATTTCCTTTTTTTGTCAAAGGCCACAATAGGAACTTTTTCCAATAATCCAAGAAACTGGGTTGGAAATATTTCTCTGTTTTGCTCAGTTGTCTGCTGCGTTTGAAAATCCATTCTTACTGTTCCATCTGGGTATCTAGTCATCCTGGAATCAATTTGTTGAAGAGGTCTTCCTTGATTTTGCAGATTTTCATAATTTGTCACCTAGGTAGATGGAATCAATTCCAACAGTCTTTTTCTAGAGATTTGTCTAGGAATATAATAACATACAGGTTGGAAATTGTTATCTACTTTTATAAACAAGGCTTTGTTTTCTTGTTCTGGGAAAAGAGGAGTAACCATGTCACAGGCATGATTCAGTAATCTATACACCATGTAGTAATGAAGTGTAGCTACAGTGGTTGTTTCAATTTGTCTAGTGCCTGTGATTTGCAATTGAACTTTAAAGGCTGAGCTTAAGTGAGGGTCTCTGATGGAGATATTGAAATTTGAGAAGAAGGTAACAAAAATAGTTCCGGTATTTAAGGTTATTTGCACAGTTCCAATACATGCATTCTGGTATTCTAGAAACCTAGAATCTAACAATGCAATTCGAGAGACTGCTTCCATTCCTTTTCTTCCATGGAAAGTTAAAGCAAGCTTAATGGCTCCAAGGTGAACATGTGTATAACCTTCCTTGATCTATTGGGGAAATAGGTTGTTGGGTAGGGTTATGGTGATGTATTGTTCAGTTTGGGTGGCTGGTATTTGGTGTTGGTCCAAAGAAGAAGCTTGGATAAATTCTTTTATAGCTTCAGGGGTCTTTTTTCCACACAATGTTTTGATCCTCTTAGTCCAATTCAAACTGGATTTATCATAGACATGATAAGGATTTATTAGTTGGGATTTTGTTTCTGAAAATTTTTCTGGAGTATAAGTAATTTAAAAAAGATGGTCTTGTTTTGAAAATATAGGACTGAAATCAAGACTAGTAGAAGAACCACACTATCTAAAGAAATTTCAGAAATAGCATCCTCTGCCATTAAAATGTTCTTATTATTTTGACTATGATTTTTGAAAATCACAGTCAAAATTACCAGCAATGTCAATCTCCATAGCAAATTGGAGGGGTGAGCCATTCTATTAAGAGTGCCTCAATGGATGGAGGAACAGCCCAGGTAAAGCAAAATAAATCTAGTGTAAACGACCATATTTCAAGAGTATTTGACGAATGCAGGAAGAGATGGTTGACAGTTTCAACCATAGTTACCGGGATCTCCTACTTTAGTAGCCGATCCCTTCTAGGATCTCGATTCTGTCGCTCTCGAAATGGATCTCTCAGAGATCTCGATTTTTAAATTTTGGGATCTTGAGCTCCACTCTTAGGTATCCCGATTCCTGTTAGGGATCTCGAATCCAACCTTAAAGACCAAAACAACAGCCAAACTGATGATTTTCTTTGTTTATAGCCAACTAACAACACAACTATCGCTTGCTTGCTATCAATAATGAGATCCCTACTTTAAAGAGTATACATAATCCTAGATTATCATACACTTTAAGGTTGGTAACAAGATCCCCAAAAAGTTAGGATCAAGATCCCAAAAGGTCGGGATCAAGATCCCCAAAAGGTTGGAATCTCGATCCCTAACATGTGCATCGTACGGACGGCGTTCCCAACCATAGGGATCTTCTAGCATTTCACGATCCCTGGCTCCCGATCCCCATCCAGGTACGGTTCCCGCTCTCGATCCCAACAACTATAGTTTCGACATAACTCTTGTTCCTTGGGGAATCAACCATGAGAATCTTTTCGAGAGTAACTAACCAGGCGAAAGCCTGAGTCTCCAGCAACCTAGGGATGGACCACACTTTGCATACAGCAAGGTTATCTTCCATTAACCAGACTATTGTCTAATACATAGACTTGAGTGATTTCACCATTGCAATCAGGACTCCACATAGGTCTAGCTTCCCTGTTTGGTCTAAAGGACTTCGGCAGCTTTTCCATCATGTTTAAAAGAGCCTCAAATCATTGTCCCTCAGATCTCGTCTTAGGCATGGACACCATGTAGTATCATGTCCACTACTTGGGTTATTCCATGATCAAGGTGTTTGGTCCATGGCCATACTATATATACAACGGTTGATTTCCCAACAAAAGATCTAGCCGGAATTTGGTTTTGAATCCATTCTAACCGCGCTGTGATGTTGCTAGCAACCATGGATAGACATTTGCTTACTCACAACATACATACTCCCAAGATCTCCACCACCAATTTCTTAATGGGGCCATGTATGTTTCTTTGATTATTTTAATTCTTAGACCACCTGTATATGTAAAAGAAAATTGTGTGCAACATGACGTATGTATTTAGGGGCCGTTTGGATACCTAGAAATATATTGTCTATAAAATATATTACTGACGTATACATTACCTGTAAATGGATTGTTACTGTTTTGGTAATATTTAGATGCAACCTGGGAAATACATTGTTATTGTTTGACTATGTCTGGAAGACATATAGGAAATGCATTACCAACATTTTACCAGCACGTGCCTAGAAACTATCATTTCTTTCTTTTTATCACAAAATTCCACTAAAATGCAGAATTATCATTTCTTTCTTTTTTGTCACAAAATTCCACTAAAATACGAAATTAAAATGATCATCACATCATTTCAAAAAGATTTCTAATAATAACATCATCACCATTCAAAAAAGATTTTTTAATAATAACTTGTACCATTTTACTGTCATCATGACACTATTTCCTACTTATTTAAGTGCCTTTGGCACTTACATGGAATCACATGTTTTCTAACATGACATTGGTTTCAACATGATAAGTCATTGGAACAATATGATTGGAATAACATGATTTTATTATGATAAGCCTTATTTTTATTTATTTTTTATAAAAGTCTTTCAAATGTCTCTCTATATGATTTCAAATAAACAATAAATTTATGATACTAAATTCAAAATCTCTATGGTACGAGTTAAAAAATGGGAAGAAGTTTGATTAGTAAACTAGACGGTTTGATAATTGCATTATAAAATTTTGAGGTAATGGAGGAGACTAAAGAGGTATGTTATTTCAATTGAGATTTTAGTAATCTCTTATGAGGATTATATTGTGTGAAATTTTTTATTATGATTGTGTTGTGTAATTTATCTTTGATTACAGATTTTTATTTTTATTATTTTTGTTTTTATATGACAACTGATGGTTTCAAATGAGGGGACGAGCTTAAAAAGGGAGGGATCACCTATGCCAGTTATTATGAATAGTTATTATGAAGAGAGAAGGCTTATAGAGAGAAGATTTTTTTATTTTTAATCAAGGATAGGGTAGGCAAAAACGCACGCAAAAGATTTCCCAAAATTACCCGTCACTCCCGTAATAGATTTTTCACCTATCACAGCGCGTAATAGATTTCTTGATTTTTTGGGAAATCTCGCGTAATCTCTTTCCATTTCCTTACGATTAAGTGTACCCAAACAGTGGAAATGTCATATTTCCTTGTAATCTATTGTCACGTAATCGATTTCCAGGTACACAAATGGCCCCTTAATGAAATGTCAGTATGATAGAATCATTTCTGATTAAAGCAATTTTTGGGCGGATTCCACTAATACTCACAACCTATTCAGTTGGTTTCACAATATAAAGAGGGGAATGGCATAACAAGAAAATTGTTTTTGAAGACGCTATACCAAATTAATGAATAATGACTGCGTTTAAAATGACCAAACTTAAACAATAGCATGCAAACTCTCCAACAATGGGTAAACACCAATTATCAAAAGAACTAGAAGTACAGAATACATTATCACATATGCATGATTTGACAGGTGGAAAAAGTTAAAAAATATTGTCATTACCAAGTTCAGCATCCGTAGCACTTCCGTTCCAACAGGGGTCATCTTTTTGGGATTCAAACTGGTTTGTGGGTTCATGCTTAGGACTTAGGATTATAAGAATCAATCATAAAGATTAAGCTCTATAGTCGGTTATATAATATACATTCTACAATGATATTATGTTGTTGCAGGCATATAGGGTACTATGACAAGTATCATCCATCCATGGCTAAATTGATAAAGAAACAACCCAAGAAACAGTCTATGACCCCTCTCAGAATGTCTTCCCAAATGTACTTATCATAAATGATGTAATTTCAGATTACAGACTTCAAAGTCTACACAACATGGATTGAATGATGTCATAAATCTCTAAAAACTTAATGCAACTGAGGATTCGATTGACCTGGGAGTCAGAGCGTGTTATCTTATCAATTTGCCGTGCAAGAGACATCCTCTTTGCAATCTCAGGCATGTAGGAGCTATCTAAGGGAAACCGACGAAGACACTCCTGCATGTCAAGGAAGAGAACAAGATTTTAATTGCAGGGAGTAAAAAACACAGGAAAAACCATCCATATAAATACTAAATAGTAAAGGTACCCATAAAATTTCAGATAATAAGCATTGCACCAAGGGAATAATAGAGTTTCCTGGCATTTACTCAACACTAAAAGAATCGCCAGCACAAATCCAAATATGAATTAATAATTTCTGTAGTCATCAAATCCTGAAACACAACTGAAGTCCGTCAAATCATTATGTGATGGAAGAGCTTACTATGATGCTGCATTACTTTCAAGGCCTACTGATGAAAGTACAGCCTATGGAAAGGAAGTGGAAATTGATAAGGTAGGATGCCATTTATATTTGCACCATAAAACAGAAGTTCCATAAAATTTCTAGTGGGCCGTGAAAAGAATGCAAAAGAATCCAAAGACCCAAACAAGACATGCTGCACCAAGATGAGCAGTATGCGAACTATAGCGTGTGTGTTCTCTCTCCCAAATTTTAATGACACGTGTCATTAGAAGGGGGACATCATAGTTAAAAGGCATTGGTGCTTCTTCATGCGGTTACCCAATTAAATGAAGCCCTGTAAAAAGGCCTTCGAAGGAGTGAATTACATTAAGTATTCGCTAGCCATGCCAATAATCATAGTAAAAGGTCATTTGAATAGTATCTTCTGGCCCTTCTAAAGGTATGGACAACACGAGGCTTCTTGACAATGTCAAGGATTCAATTTGGAAAGAGAAATTTATTTGCCTTTATCTGAGAAGTCTCATAATTGTTGATGCCCATTATAGTTTGTTAAATGCTCTCTTCAAACAGTTTTTGTTTTTTTAATAATTATCTGCAAAGAGAAGTTTTAATAGCATAATTTTATTTTATTTTTATTCTTTAGTGATTTTTTAATGCATTAGGTAGAATGGCCTAGAACTTAGATGGGACTCAGGCAGTGCAACCACACGACCCCAAACCCCATTCTCAAAGTTTTAATAGCATCTACATGGGGGCATAAATACTTATTTATCCAACATATGCATTTTCAACACCTATGTATAATAAGCATGCTGGTTTTATTTGAAACTTTTCACCCATGTACTGCTGGATTATCGCAAGATTACATAATACTTTCCAGAACAAGCATGAGGCTACATCTTAAAAAGTTCATTTTCTAGAAGCCTATAATTAGTACTCGTTCATATGTGATCAAAACATCTCAAACTCGATGTACCACTGGAACACATACAACCCACTTCACCACCTGAACATTCCAAATCATCCAACTGGTTCAAGGACCCTCGTGAATGCATTCATAGTTTCTCAACAAGAATTCCAAGCATATCAGCAGTAATAACGCATATTCAGAAATCAAAAGTTTACACCTATCATACGATGTATACATCTCCATGACTTCTCAATTTTCTATGCAGAACAAAAATAAATATGCAACTATTTCCTTTTTGAGATAGGCAAGAGAAGCGTATTTCAGTAGGGCAGTCAATCAACCAGGTTGTTGGTCTGTCATGGGAGACACTGATCTGCAAGAGAGGTCTAGAGCTCAATCCTTCCTCTCGAAAATGAACTGGCCCGACCAAAGAAATTCTTTTCGTAAGCGCAAAGCATATAGAACATTCACATCAAGCAAAGGGTGTACTCACCTTTGAAAATGATTTACACAGAGAGGCAAACTTTGATCGGTCAGACGGTGAAATAAGTGCAATGCTACACCCATCACTAGAAGCCCGAGCTGTTCGTCCACTCCTGTGAATGTAAACCTGAACAAACCAAAATGCATACAGAGACAAAATAGGTATGTCAAGCAACGCTCTATTCTGAAAGCACAAACATTAAGGCTCCATTTACAGAAGGGTAGGAAAAAAAATCCATAAAAAAAGAAAGCCAACAGCACCCTGTTGCCGCAGTACAACAGAACCAAAAAAGGAAAAGAAATGAAAATGAGGTTTTTTTTCTTTCTTTTTTTTTTTTTGTATATGTTTTTTTGGTGTTGGCACGCAGGGGGGGGGGGGAAGGTGACCCCTTTTTGAGAAAAATAGGGAGCATTGCCACAAAAATAAAGCAAAGCATCTCATACTGCTTTCTAGAAACAATTTCCAAACAATACATTAACATATTGCGATAGACTATATATAATAAGCAACAATATCAAAAAATAAGGAAAACGAAGTTTCAGATACAGGCCTCTGCTGAATGTGGTAATTGATAGTGAATAACTGTTCGGATGCCAGGGATATCAAGTCCTCTAGCTGCAACATCAGTAGCAGCAAGAACACCATGATCGCTAGAACGAAAATGATCCATGGCCTACAATAAACAATGAAACACAAAAGATTATGCTGTACTTCACATAAAATGAAGAAGTGCGTTTATGTAACACGTTCAGAAATCAGAATCCAACATCCTACTTCACATGCAGTTATTTCCAGAAAAAAGTACTCGTCCTTCACATTAAATAAAGAAAAGAAATAAAAACAAGAAGCTCCTCTACAACACATTCTGCCAGCATCTCTCATCACACATCACACATCACTGACTAACGTGGTGGCATTTGTTATTCTCCTTTATTCTTTATACTGCAATCTGCACCATTTTCCTCACCTAACAGACTTCATAGTAATTCCAATTAAGTTTGAGGATACACGTTTGAATATACACTCATATATTACGACAAATATGTGTGTAGATCCCTGACATCTAGAAATAAAAGGGAAGAAATATTGGGATACAGAGACTCCAAATCTCTAATGCCTATGATTATAATAGAAAGTCACGTAGAGTAACAGAATTACCTTCAAGCGAGCTCTTTGTTGCATTTGAGCATGAAGAGTCCAAGCATTGACACCAACGATACGCAAAAGGGATGATATACGGCGTAAGGCTGCAATTGATGTGCAGAAAACAATAGTGCGACCAAATCCATGAACACTAAGAAGATAGTACAAGTATGAATCTTTGTCTTCTTCCCTGCACCTGCATGCCCATGTATGTCAGTAATCTATCGAATTATCCATGGTGATTGATTATGAACTGTATATAGACAGATATTAACAGATATTGTAGCATAAACTGATGGAGATTAAAAGTAAAGCATCATTTTACAGTTTCTTTGCATACCTTTACTAGAACTGTAACAAACACTACAGCTTAGCATTGGTGAACATACGCCTAAAGAAAATTGAAATGATGAACAATATTAAGCGGCACTAGTACCCCTCAAGAAAGAAATGAAGAATATCCTAACAATTAAACCATATCTTAGAACAAAAAGATGTTCACACCAACCAGGCATGAAAATGATTACCCACTTAGGAAAAATCTAAAAATCATAAGGAATCTGTTCTGACAATAAATTACATATATGGCAGAATGGCATTCCCTAAAGGATCACTTTAAATGAGCCCCTCATGAACCAGACAATGCAAAGAGCTTTGAGCATGTCAGCATGCATCAGAGCATCAAACTTTCATTTTATGAGTTTCAAGTATTGGTACTTGAAAGATGTAAATGTAGATCCAAGCTCACTGCACATGAATCTGAAAATACAAGTACAATACGTTCTTAAAGAAAATCCTCTTCCTCACCCTCTGAAAAACAAAAAACCAATAATAACTAATAAAATCCATACATCCTCCCTTTGATAAATTCAGAAGTTTTTTGTTGCTAGAGCCTTCCAACATATTAAGTAAGACCTCACTCATAATTTAAAACCAAATGTGATTTCTGGGGTTCTACAATGTTACCAACAGATGAAAAGGAAATAATTGTTTTGATTGAAATTAGAACTCACTTTTAAGCAGTGTTTGAAAACGGATCAGTGGAGCAGATCGTTGGCTGAATCAGCAATTCAGATCATTCTCAAATCGTCTGAATCAATGATCCAAACCAATTTAAGATATATATAACATAAAATAAAAATTAGAATAGAGGTTTATGAGTTGGGGATTAGGTCGGAACCACATAAAACATTAGATAAGTTTAACAAAAGAAGGAAAAAATTGAAAAGGGGGTTTTGGAGAGGGGAGGGGGACCAGGCCAGGACCTATACTATTCTGGAACCGGTTCGGTCCCAATCAATTCCGCATCCGAATCAGCGACGCAGATCGAAAATCGCCGGGTTTTAAAACACTGCTTTTAAGAAATTTCACTTTCTCAGAAGGTTAGGCTGCTTATATAGTAAAAACTAAAGATACCACCTTTTCTTTTTGATGGGTAATAAACATACTACTCAAAGGTCGAAGTGTAAAATACTTATAAAATCTAACACGTTATAAGCATTACTATTAATTTTCCAGTCTTGACCAAAAGAAATAAATAAGTAAATGTGATTTCCTGCATGTTACAAGCACTATTATTGATTTCCCAGTCATGACCAAAAAAAAAAAAAAACTTTATCATAAATATTTATAAGGACGTTCTGTGACTAAATTGTAAAACTGTGATTCCAGAAAAAAATCCAACCACAGATAGTCTCCTGTCATTGCATATATGAGAAGAGTGAACTATTTTTAGAGTTTCATTTGCCATGAAAAATACTTACTCTATAACTGACTCCTCAAGTTTATAAGCCACAATCGAAGAAGTAGTCAAATCAATAATAGCTGCATCTGCTCTCATTCCCGCTCTCTGAGAAAGGTTTTCAAAAGAACTCAACCCATCATTACTTGCAGATCTCAGATTTGCACCTCGCTTTAGCTTTTTCCGGAAGTTTGCAGATAATGCTATAGTTGCAGAAAATACAAAGGTTTGCCTTTTCTTTTTCTGCATTTTTGCAACCGTCAAACAATTATCATTCTTTTTTATGCTGTGCAGTTTATTATCTCCTGAAGAGGGACTGGGGGCAGGTTCTCCTCCAGATTGGTCGCCGACCAAAGGTAGCATGTCAATAATGGATTGCAACTCATGAAAATGGCCATTCTCTATCATCCTATCAGCTTCATCCAGTACAAAAAAAGAGAGCAATTGTAACTGCAACAAATATTCCACCAAATAATCACTGAACTGATCAGGACATTAATCCAAAACCATAAAAAAAGCAAATGCTAGTGAGTAGACAAGAAATTTTGATATACTTCCAAGAAGAACTCTTGAGAGATGATATGCTTGTGTATGCCTATATGTATACATATGTATGTATGCCTGTATATTTAACTTTTCAAGGCCACATGACCATCTATTAAAAAAATTCTATGAGAAATAAAAGGAACTTATAAGGTTCACTAAACACAAATTCAATCAAAGTGGGACTAGATTAGTTATATGACTCATTAAACTATAAGGAAATAGAAAAGTAGCACTCGTTTTCTTTGCTGAGAAGGTATAGCAAAATCCAATGGGCCACAGGATATTCAGTGTCCATTGGATCGTTAGCAACCAATCCAAAAACGGATGGTGATGAAGAAAGAATAGGACGACTAAAAAAGCACATGAGGCGATGGGTACCCCTTCTCTCCATCACCATCCATTTCACTGGATGGTGGTGACCCAAATGCAAAATGTTTTTGCAAAGACATTGGATTATTCCAATGCTTTCATTCATAACTTTATTTCACAAAACATTCCAATAGAGCATTCAGATGAGTATGAAAAGTTGCAGTCAATGTTTTCTTACAAGGAAAATAGCCTCCTCATACCCTGGAAAAAAATATCTCATGTAAGGAGATTCATAAAAATGCACCTCATTTTCTCTCCTTGCATAAGACGATAAAGAATTTCTCTCTATCTCTAATGTGTTAAGAAGAACTGACATAGAGGCATAGAGCCAGGGCAGTGAGACCTAATGTACAGCTCTGTCAATAACTCCAGTAGTTTTTAAACCATGGGTCACTGGAAGCACTTACTTTCACCCTAAATTGTGTTATACAATGAAAGAGCCAAAGTATATTAAACAATAACTTGGAATCATATTATTTTTAAGAACTCCATGATCGATCTACTCTAATGCCTATGATTAATTACTTTAATTAATAGTTTCCATTGAACCAGCAATACTCAGTGTTAAATACCTGACATTTCAGACTCGTACTCACCTAGGTCACTCAGAACCAACACCCTGCCAGATTGCTGGTTCAAAATGACCTCAACAATGGTAACCCGAGTCTCACCGAGTAATCAATACTGCCTGGGTCTGTCCTGGTCTCTAAAAAATTGATTCTGGACCGTTTCGACCAGTTAGTCTAGAGACTTGACAAGACAACTCCAATCTGCCCCCTGCCTGCTTCGATGTTTTTAAACACTGGCAAAACTAGATCGGATCAAGCTTCATTTTTTAATTTTTTTTTTTTAATGTTAACGATTGTATTACTGTAGAGAGAAATTACAGTGTGGTGAACTTCCAAGAGAGCCCTCTAGACGGGACTCTCGGTAAACATCCGATCAGCAGACCCTTTACATCGGATCAAGCTTCATTGTTTGCCACAACATGTTGACATTTGTGGAAAGATATTCAATTATTCCTTTCGGTTTCCATTTTTATACATAATTTGTTCATCTCAGACTTTCAGTTTTATTATTCCCAGGTTTTTACAATGTGGAGACATGGGCATCGACGCACACCCTACATTAATTTGTACTGTGGTCCCTTTAAGACTCACCAGCGGGATGTAGCTGCAAACACCACTAACCAATCAATACAACAAAAATAAATAGATAAAACATAATAAAAAAACCTTGTTGCAAAACCCAAGATCCATGACTTGTAATTCCAGCAAATTATGGGTCATTTAATAGAAAACATGACTAGAGATGTCCACTCTAGTTCAACTGGCCAAAAAAGAAAGCAGAAAAATAAAATAAAAAGTCCTGGTCACAAAAGATAAGGAAATTTTAAAAAAATATTTTTTATGATTATGCTCCTCAGCTATGTCCCTAGGTTGCACCTTGCAACTTGACGTGCCCTCATTTTAAATAGTCTCCAATCAAATTAAATAATGAATTGTTTACAAAACTCAGATTCTAGGAAAGTTTAGAAAAAAATTAAACAAAGCACATTGCGTTCAGACATATTGGAATAGCCCATCTCAATTGATGCATTCCTTTTGATGCCGATAAAAATATACCACCATAAAGGCCAAACCCAGATTGCACAATCCAAGGTAGTGGGGTAGATCAATTTTGTCTCACAAGGCCACCTAGTCATGAAGAATAGGTTGGTGCTGTACAAGTTATTCTTCATCAGCCAGAATTCTGGAAAGCTAATCTGGAAAACTGGAAATTGGGGAAGTAGGATACCCCCTCCAAGTCTAAGATAATGGCCATGGATGTGTCAGGGTGGAGTTTAACCTTCAACGATTAAAATAAAAAAAAAAAGAGATAAAGAGAGACAAATGAAGTAGCTCAACAATGAATGTCTGAACCTTTAACACCTAAAGACTAAATATGAGTAGGTCAAATCATACTAGAAAAATGAATTAACAAGCTTGATCACATATGAAGCTGTGCATGACCACTCTACTGCAACCACCTACCTTAGCATAGACACCATAAGGAAGAAAAACCCAAATTTAAGAAGAGACTCCATTGATCTCAAACATAAAATTACTTCCAAATTTGCTTTCCTAAGATGAAATGGAAAACGGTCCGAACAGTGACCACCCTGTTCAATGTGTTTAGAAACAAACTGGAATGCCTGATCTCCAATAGTCCCAGAAGGAATAGGATTCATAAGGACATCATAGATGCTAAGCTTTATATACTTTTTTGATAAGCATAGACCATTAATATCCTGCTGAAGTTGCACTGTGATATGCTATTAACTACAACTAATAAATAAATTGCTAAAATCTTAACAAACGCAATACACACAAGATGCATTTGTACCAACCTCAGTGAGATGCACATCTCCTCCTGACATAAGTTCCCATAGCCTCCCAGGAGTTCCAACAATAACCTCTGGCCTTCTCTTTAGAAGTCTCTCCTGCTTCTCTGCAGACATTCCACCAAAAATAGGAACCACCAGTATATTGGTGAGCTTACTAAAAGCTTTCAGATGATCAGAGACCTGCATGAAGGGAAAGGAGTCAGACAGCAAGTGGATCCTGAAATCATCATGTTCATGAGTCGAGACACAGACCAATTTATGCTTTACAGTTGGATGAACAAACTGCCATTTCCATATGAATCTACAACGATGAATAAATGAATCCCAATATTCACACCACTGAGAATATGTAAAGTATGGGAGAAGGAATCAATAGAAGATAGCAGTGAGTAACAACCTGAAGTGCAAGCTCCCTTGTAGGAGTCACAATAAGCGCCCGTAAACATTTTTCACAAACTCCCTTTTCCCCACCATCTTCTCCCTTATTTGAATAACGTGCAGCTTTCTCTTGTTCCTCAAGTAGGCGTTGAAAAATTGGCAGCCCAAAAGCAAGCGTTTTTCCAGATCCAGTCTCTGCAGCACCAATGACATCCTGTTCAAATGTGAGCTCAATTTTTTAAAATTATAAGTACCTAAAAGATTACTCGAATCGTAACATTAACATCCTTAACATATTCTTCAAACATAAACCTTACCCTTCAAGAATCTCTGAAATGTTGAATAATAAATTAATAATAAATTAGAAACAACCCAATAGATACTAAACATTGACAAAAATAAAGCTCTCTTAAATAAGAATGCAAACTTCTGTAGACTTAACTTTAATCTTCAAAGCATTAATACTGCACAGCACACAGATCGAAAGCTTCACAGAGAAGAAAAAGTCATATTTTTCTCATTGTCGTGTTGCCACAAATGCCATTAGAAGTTTCCATTAACTACGAGAACTTCTTACTGGCTTTGAACTGACCTTTCCCTGGTGAGCAGCAGCTGGAATGCAAGCCCTTTGTATGGGTGTGGGTTCCTTGAATTCCAGTCTGTGAATAGTTTTCAACAACAAAGGGTGAAGCCTCAGCTCATTCCATGCAGAAAACTCATCATCCAAGTCTAGAGTTTCATTACCAAGGTTATTGAATTGACCATTACTTTCCCCCTCGATTATAGATGCAAGGGGGGTATCTTTCTGATCAAACTCTGCAAAACCCATGAAAATAGAATAGAATTCAAAAATATGAAATTAGGATTTTTCTTCACCAGCACACAAATTCATGAAGAGAGCAAACTAACTCAGTTCACCATACATTTTAAAAACAACAAAAATCACTTGTATCTCAATATCTCCTGTAGTTTAATTGACAATGTTGGGTGGATTAATTAAAGCATATTTTATACTTTACATTTGTATTCGCCATTTCGCAGCCCATTAAAAGGCTCTATACAAGTAATTTTCAAATATCCAAACAAAAAAAGATAGCAAAAATTGGATCAGCCAAATTCATATGGGGAAAACAACATAGATATTGCAAATGAACACCAATTCTGTAAATACAGTCTCAGCAAGCTACCCTTATAGTCTCTTTCCAAAAGAACTCAACATGCTCACTAGTTACAAACAATGCTCAATTTCTAAATAGGAGCAAGATAAGCATTAAATGAAGATCATGTGAACACCAGGCAATAAAAGCTCGAACAAAACCCAAATTTGAGACATCCTCCAGCCTTCTTCTCCACAAAGCATTCCATGTAAATATGACACGTTGGATTGTTTGTCATATATTTTCCAATCAATTTATTTGCCAATAGATAGACTAGTTCATATTGTAATTGCAGTTAAATTTGAATCAAAATAAAAACAAATAAAAGCAGCTTGCTATCTGAAATATAAGCAAAACCCCAACCTGATACAGTTTCTTTTGTGGATACAGTCTCTTCTACATTCTTGATCTTACTCTTGTTTGAATTTTTCTTCTTTTTCTTCTTCTTCTTCACCTTTTGCTTACTTGATATCTCTCCTGTACTTGCCATTATATCATAGTGAAGTTCATCTGATACAGGAACAAAGGTCCCTACCTCATTCTCGCTCTTACTCTTTTTTGAATTTTTCTTCTTCTTCTTCTTCACCTTTTTCTCACTTGATATATCTCCTGTACTTTCCATTATATCAGAGCGAAGTTCATCTGATACAGGAACAAAGGTCCCTTCCTTCTTCAGTTTTGCTTGACTGAAATCAAACGCAGATTCATCTAACTCTTCTAGGGAGAGAAAACCTGTACCATCAATGAGAAAATAGATTAGAAATACAGCAAAAACTAGAGAGAGAAAGAGAGGAGACGAGAGAGAAAAATGGACCTCCTTCATTGCTCCCGACAAGGAAAGAGAAAAGGTCATCGTCAGGGAGAGAGCTACTCCATTGAAGGGTATCAACATAAGTAGTTTCGGACTCTTGGTTAACTTTTCGCTTCCTTGTCTTCGCTTTTCTCTTAGAAGGTATATCCATGGCGACTGCGTTCCTCTTTCTCTGCTGAAATACCCCTTCTCTCTCCTGCAACAAAAAGCAGCACCTTCCTTCTCTATTGAGAGAGAGAAAAATGGAGCGAAAATTCCATTTCAGTGACGAAAGCCCTGAACGAAACCAAACCAAACCATAGAGGGATCAAATAAATATTCTAACTAGGGTGTCCGGTTTGCGTAAGGTTGTAACCTTAAACTACCACACGAAAACTTGAACCGGATGGGGAAGGAAGCGGTTCAACCGACCCAACTCGGTAAGTTGAAAAAAGTGTTACAATTTTAAAAAATACAAAAAATATAAAAAAAAATTTAAAACATGATAAAACAAAATAAATCAAGATGAAATTGAAAACTAATTAAAAAAAATAGATTTTAAATATTGATTTGTGCTCATAAGTATTTTTGAAATTATCTAAAAAATATAGGAAAGTATAAAAATAAGTATTAATGGTAAAAATAATTTTCCAATATTTATAAAAACATGAAAATTTATTACAAACAAAATCTTTCATTTTTTGGACTTTTATTTTTTTTAATTGTTTTTAAAATATTTGGCCTGTTCATGAACTAGCCGAAACCAGAACTGGCCAGTGGCTGGTTTCGATCTAACCTGGTCTAACCGGGCGGTTAGAATTTGAACTGCCCAAGTTTTCCTACACTGCCTTAAACAATCAAATTAAGGCGCCCCACTAATTATTTGTTATGAGATGTAATTTTGGTATAAAAACATTTAGAATCGTATGAGAATTTAATTTTATCTTTCATTATAAAATGTTTAATTCTAAAATTAGTTTAAATCAAATAGATTTATAAAAATATGTAAAATCTTAAAAATGCGTGGTCCAGATAAAAGGTTGCAAAATGTAATATTTTTAGGATTTAAACTCTTTTTTTTATATATGCATCAATGTGGGGATGATCAATTAGATATTTTTCCAACATCAAAATAGCCGTTTTCAAATGATTTTGGAGGGATCAAGGTGTCAGCCTCATATAAACTTTTTCCTTCTAATTAGAATTAGAAAAACTTTATGCAACACATCAACCTTGGACTACAAAAAAAAGCACATCAAAAGCCCCTACACAAAAGTCTCGTCCTATATAAATGTTTTAATTGATCTTCTTGACCTCGACATGCGTGAATATGAAGAAAACAACAGCCGTGAAATCCTAAAAATATTGTATCTTATATTTAGTAAAATATTCAAATATGGGATTGTCTACAAAGCGATTATTTATTTTTTATATAAGGATGTCACAACTATTTCCAGTCATTAGATGTCAAATTGGACGGCTCTTTTTTTAACTTTGTGTCAAATAAATGACATTTTTACAACCACCCATTTTGAAATCCAATGGACAAGAATGATTGTGATCTCCTTGTACAAAAGATAAATGGTCTCTTTATAGACAATCTCAAAATAATATTACAGCTTATAATATATTATCAAGACCATTTATTTTCAAGATTTTTAATTGTATAGATTTATTCAATCAACACTACTTTTAAAGCTTTAAATTTTATAATTAGCGGCGAGAATAAATTTATTGACCATCATAAGAGTTTCTAGCACCTAAATTGCATCTATCGATAGAACTTAGAGATGCGCCTTACTTTAACTGTTTCTATAAGGTTTCAACCTTGAACAATCCAATTAAGGCGCATCTCCAAATTTTATCATAACATGTAATTTTGGTTTAAAAACTTGTTAGGATTATCTCAAAATCTATTTTCATATCTAATTATAAAATTTTAAACTCTAAAAATTGTTAAAATCAAGAAAATGTATGAACATATGAAATCTTGAAAATTGACGGTCGAGATAATGTGTTGCAAGATGCACTCTTTTTGGGACTCGAAATCTTTTTTTTTTTTCCATATCCATACATACCGTTGTTGAGATGATCGATTAGAGGGTTTTTCAGCATTAAAACAACATTTTCCGATGGATTTTTGTGGTACATCCGTAATTCTACATTTAAGATTGCAACATTATATAAACTTTTTCCTATATAAATTACACCATAAATATATGATTTTTTTTTTCATTTCATTCAAGTACCTCATAAAAAATATCTTGAAAATTTAAAATAATATCTTGAAAATCAATGTCCACATGTCTTTCTTTAGGGAATTATGAACAAGCTATATAGGTCCTATTCGGAAGGATTGTGGCTATTGAACCCGTTTATTGTAGCATAAAATTAGCCCTCAACTGTTAGAAATGGATTTTTCATGTAATATACTTTAGGAAATGGATTTTTTTGGGAAAATTAGCCTTGTGCTTGCCCTTTGATAGGAAATTAATCTTTTATGTTTCCTACCACGTAAAGTTGGCATACAAACAAAAAGTACATGTGAAAGAAACTTGAGAGAAATGGAAAATATTTATATATCTATATGTAATAATAAACTAGTGATATGTTGCACATGATATTAAATCTAACTCATTAAATAACAATGAATTAAAATATAAAAAATTAATAATAATTAAATAATAATAAGGAAAAATAGAACAAAATGGAGAAAGAATCTAGAATCAAGAGTTAGGCTTGGAACAAAGACAAAGATTGAATCATAGCTCTTTAATCTTCGATATTGCAGTCTAGGGCTTTGATTTGACTTGAAAAGAGTAGTTTTATTTTTAAATATTGGTTGAAGAAGGTATTATAAGATCCCATTTTTAAGGGTCTAGCTCTAGGGTATAGGGTTTCAAATTTGGAATCAGGATTAAAGTTTAGAAGCTAGGGTTTTTTACAATCTTCTTCCAAGAAAAGGCTTGGAAAATATCTATTTATAAGAAAAAATATCCCAAAATATAGAAGTCGGCAATCTGAAATAGTTCGAAGGGCAGCCACGTTTCAGCAATGCTGTATTCGTCATTGGGCATTATACCAGTGGGCAGACAATTGTCTGACTCCAACTCAATTTTTGTTTTTGTGGATTTTCAATTCTGATATAGTTTATTAACAATTATGCTAAAAAATTCTTGAATTGACTGATCTTGGAATATTTTATCTCTAATTTGCACCGGTATTTGCCTATTTTAGGATATTTGATTTCCTAAATTTAGATATTTGGGATCTATGGCAAATTTTAGGGAGTATTGGGGTTGGACTATGGTCTCGGTATGGACTATGGTTCAATTTGTCCTATGGTGGATTGGGATAGTATGCTCCAGGGTTTTAAGACTTCAAAAGTAAAATTAAATTTGGAAGAGGAGTCTACAGTTGCCCTTCTTTAGTGCTCCTAACTCTTTGAGGGACAAGAGAGTGTCGAAGAAGTAGACAATTGCAACCGATGGAAACTTGAAATCAGGTACCCAATGGTCAAAGAATGGTTGTCCCATCAAATCTGTTGGCACATTGACTACTATTTGCTATACTGCCTAAGAAATTGGACGTTGGGCTAGGGGTTCTTGGGATATTTTCCACAGTGTGTGTTGGGATTGCTTCATGGGTTCCATTGTGCCACTAATTATGAGTTATAGTGTTCGCAAAACCAGCCGATCAGAACTGAAACCGGCCGGTTAGATCGGTACTAATAGGGTGGCAATTTCGGTTTTGGCCAGTTTTATGGTACAAGTTGCAAAATACATATTCCAGAAAAAAATCTGCTAAAAAACAGGCCGGTTCGATATCGAACAGGTGATTTTTAACCAAAAACCAGCTGGTTTTTTAATAACCAATCCGATTCGATGTTATAACGGGCGATATGGTGATATAACGGGATAATGTAAATAACTTCCATTATTTGTAGTAGAGCCCGTTATTTGGACAGAACCCGTGATCCATGATTTTTGCAGCCTTTTTTTACGCTTGTTCCTGCCTTTTTTTGCTTTTTTTGGCTCAATTAATGTACTCTACCTTCAAATATTCTATAAATCTATAATATTGAATTAGAAACTCCAAGATTAAGTCATTTTTAGCAATTTTTAGGTGTTCTTGAGTTTTTTTAATAAAATATCCGCCAATCTAAGGATTTTGGCTTGGTTTTTCACTGTTTTTGGATAAAAATTGGGGGATTTTAATGATCACCAAGATACCTATCTTTCTAGACTCCTGACTTCATTGAAATGGAGAGATTTGGAGCTCGATTTTGATATTGAAGCAAGCAAGGTAAGCTCGAACCCGATTTTTTTTTAATTTTTTTCTTAATTTTGCGGCCCTTTTTTAGGATTATTTAGATAATATTTGACTTATACTATTTATTGTATCCAATAAAAGAACGGATTTGAGAACAAAAAAAAAAGATTTGGAGCTCGATTTTAGGAATTTAGGGTTTCTTGAATAAAAATTGAAGAAATGCATATTTTGTGAGAGTTTTTTCTTAATTTTTTTTTGTTTTAGGATTATTCAGCCTTTTTTTAAGATTATTCAGCCTTTTTTTTCTTCATTTTTCTTTGTTTTATCTGAGATATAAGTTATGAGTTCCGTGAATTGTTATATGAGGTTTAGTCCTCATATTATTTTTTTTTAATTGAATCAATGGTGTTTACCTGGTTCTAGAGCTTGCAATTGCATTTGATGGTTTTTTGTATTATTCATGGAAATGTGCTTTTATTCTTCTTGTTTGATGGCATCATATTATGTTGAATGTATATGTATTTGCTGATCTTCTGAGAAAAATTTCATGTTCAATTGATGGATTATGTTGTCTGCATATAATTTTCGTTTTTTTTTTTCCTTTCATTGCTTGAAAGCTCTGAGAAACTGTAAATTTAGGTGCATATTAATTCTACATGTTTAAGTTGCAACCTTATATAAACTTTTTCTTTTCACTTTTGTTCATTGCTTGAATTTTATTGTTTTTATCTACCATTTCATCTAATAGTTTCAAGCAATGTTTGCCAATCTGGATCGACTTGATCGATCCGTATAGGGAATTGTTAGGAACTAGTTTTTTTCACAATTGAAACTGCAGATCAACCAAATTTGACCTCAATACAACTGTTTTCTATCTTTTACATAGTTGTCTAGGGCGTGGTCCATTGGTTGTAAGAATTTTATTTTCACCATAAAAGCCCACTAAAAAGGCTTAGAACCTTGGTGGTTGTAACTGCAACAATATCTGTAACTGCAGAAATGCTTGAGGAGTTTTGCTCTCCAATGCACATATTTATGATGAGAGAACGAGTTAT